GCTTTAGTTTTGCAGAGTTAAATTCTCAAACGTGTAAGGCAAAAATAAGATGAAAGTATCACGAAATTATTTGAATAAACCACATCGCATATTATATGGCGCGAATGTCCTAAAGAGGGGCGATATTCCTAGGGTATTCGCCCCACCCCCTGGGAGGCGATATTCCTAGGATATTCGACCCCCCGGGGGCAATATTCCTAGGAATATCGCCACGTTTTGAGGGGGGGGGGCGAATTTCCTGGGGGGGGCGACCTTTTTAAAAATTCTATTTTGCCCCCCCCAAAATTTGAGTTTGCCCCTCAAATGCCCCCCCCCCAAATTTGGAAGCCTGGCCATAGAATAAAGATCCATATAGAAGGGCCACTTACGTCGGAAGCTTTGAAGTTTCTGTCCTCGCGCATGTCGCATTACGCATGTTGGCCGCCATTTTCCTAGCCAGTCAATGACATTTTCTGGCCAATAAACGCGCTGTATTGGCTGGCTGCTCCGCCTTCTGGCCAGTAAACTGCATATTTTTGCATAAAAAAATGAGGACATGTTGCACCGCTGAGTGGCCCTTCTATATGGATCTTTATTCTATGGCCTGGCGCCGCCACTGAATACAGTTTTCCAAATGAAATAATCAATATCAATCAGGCATTCTTTCGTTTATAAACGATTTTTTAATTTGCGGAAAAAGAACGCCAGCCAAACGATTTTACAATAAGTAAAACTATGGATTTTACCCTGGATTTTACTCGTCAATGGTTAAATTCCACAAACATGCAGCAATAGCATTAGTATTTCACGATAGAGAGATCAAAAACTATTTAGACATAAAAATTATAATTAACGGATATAAAACTTTTTCCGTGTTGATACTAGGAAAGCGAGAAATCGGTGTGGAAACACGACGCCCGGATATCGATTAGCACATTAGATTAGCACAAGATTAGCGGCAGGAAATTTTCGGTGTTGACATTGAGTTTAATCACGGTTAACCGTGGTTTAATATAATATCTTAGCTAATCGGCGTTCAAGATTTACAAAATCTTACCACACAAATGCTATATTGTATTGATGCTATTTCAAAAGACAATTGACCAGTTTTATTACTGACATTGATGTTTCTCATCCAAGGCTGGCTTCTGTCTATGGCAAAAACATAAAAAAGATACTAACTCGCAGACAAATCACAAGAGTGGACATTACTCAAGCGTGGTAAGTCCGACCAGCAGACCGTTAATGCCCCATTCTTAAATGGCATTAATTAATTTCAACATATGTTCTAATTCATTTTATTTAGCAATGATGTAGTGCACCCAGCTGTTAGATTTTCACTACGCCTTCAGTCAAACCTGATGCTTGGAATTTTGCGAGTTTATAAAGAACAAGTGTTTCATTTCTGTGGTAAGCTAGGCTGGGATGAAAATATCAAGTCTAAAGTTACTCTTTGAGATATCTTATATATTGATGGTGATGATGGTAGTTCTATAGAGGTGATGATGGTGAAATATTGGTGCAGGTGATGACGATGGTAGTATCAGGTGGTGATGGTGGTGATGGTGGTGATGATGATGATGGTGGTGGTGATGGTGGTGAAATATTGGTGATGGTGATGATCATAGTATCAGGTGGTGATGATGGTGATGGTGATGATGATGAAATATTGGTGATGGTGATGATGGTGAAATATTGGTGCAGGTGATGATGATGGTAGTATCAGGTGGTGATGATGGTGATGGTGGTGATGATGATGATGGTGGTGGTGATGGTGGTGAAATATTGGTGATGGTGATGATTGTAGTATCAGGTGGTGATGATGATGATGGTGAAATATTGGTGATGGTGATGATGGTAGTATCAGGTGGTGATGATGGTGGTGATGATGATGATTGTGGTGGTGATGATGGTGAAATATTGGTGATGGTGATGATGGTAGTATCAGGTGGTGATGATGGTGATGGTGGTGAAATATTGGTGATGATGATAGTATCAGGTGGTGATGATGGTGGTGATGATGATGATGATGGTGGTTGTAGAAATTAATATTTTTAGGTCAGTTTTGTACTTCATGTTAGCAAATTAGCAGTATTGCATTTTGATTGGTCATCGCAAATCATGTGAGTGATCACATGACAGGACAATGAACGCTTGAACAATAACTCAGTGTTGTATGTCAGAGAGAGACGCACGGGTGTGCAAATTTATGTCGCACATAATTTAAATAAAACTTTATAAAAATCAAGAGAAGGTCTTGCTTTTTAAAGTGGTGATGATGGTGAAATATTGGTGATGGTGATGATGGTAGTATCAGGTGGTGATGGTGGTGATGATGATGATGATGGTGGTGAGGATGGTGAAATATTGGTGATGGTGATGATGGTAGTATCAGGTGGTGATAGTGGTGATGATGATGGTGGTGATGATGGTGAAATATTGGTGATAGTGATGATGGTAGTGTAAGGTGGCGATTATGGTGATGTTTGTGATGGTGGTGATGATGGTGATGATGGTCACCTGATGATGGTGATTATGATGGTCATGATGGTAACAATGATTAAAGGTGATGCTGACTGGTTTGTTGCAATGTTTATAGTGTTATTTATTGCTTAGGAAAAGCGATCATTATGAATCTTGATAAAAATAGAATTGTGATGATATTGACCCAAATATTGATCATCAATAATCAATAATATTGATTGTTGCTGTAATGATAATAGTGGTAAATGTTGGTGATATTCAATAATGATATGATATCAACAATGATGATCAATTATGAAAATGATATTGATGAACAGTTAATATCCATTATGTTATTGATTAGTGATTATTGCTGATAATAACCTATTATTAGAATCTCTAAAGACTAATACTATCAATAAGCACTGAGTATATATGTAAATGATGATGATGTTTATTGAAGATGATGAATATAGTTATGATATGATCAAATATTGATCAACAATAATCAATAATATTGATAGTTGCTGAAATGATAATAGTGGTAAATGTTGATGACATTTGATAATGATCTGATCAACAATGGTGATCAATTATGAAAATGGTATTGATGAACAGTTAATATCCATTATGTTATTGATTAGTGATTATATATTGCTGATAATAACCTATTACTAGAATCTCTAAAGACTATTGCTATCAATAAGCAGTGAGTATATATGTAAATGATGATGATGTTTATTGAAGATGATGAATATAGTTATGATATGATCAAATATTGATCAACAATAATCAATAATATTGATTGTTGCTGAAATGATAATAGTGGTAAATGTTGATGACATCCAATAATGATCTGATCAACAATGGTGATCAATTATGAAAATGATATTGATGAACAGTTAATATCCATTATGTTATTGATTAGTGATTATTGCTGATAATAACCTATTATTAGAATCTCTAAAGACTAATACTATCAATAAGCACTGAGTATATATGTAAATGATGATGATGTTTATTGAAGATGATGAATATAGTTATGATATGATCAAATATTGATCAACAATAATCAATAATATTGATAGTTGCTGAAATGATAATAGTGGTAAATGTTGATGACATTTGATAATGATCTGATCAACAATGGTGATCAATTATGAAAATGGTATTGATGAACAGTTAATATCCATTATGTTATTGATTAGTGATTATATATTGCTGATAATAACCTATTACTAGAATCTCTAAAGACTATTGCTATCAATAAGCAGTGAGTATATATGTAAATGATGATGATGTTTATTGAAGATGATGAATATAGTTATGATATGATCAAATATTGATCAACAATAATCAATAATATTGATTGTTGCTGAAATGATAATAGTGGTAAATGTTGATGACATCCAATAATGATCTGATCAACAATGGTGATCAATTATGAAAATGATATTGATGAATAGTTAATATCCATCATGTTATTGATTATTGATTATTGATGATAATAACCAATTATTAGAATCTCTAAACTACTAATACTATTGATGTGCAGTGAGTGTATATGTAAATGATGATGATGTTTATTGAAGATGATGAATACAGTTATGATATGATCAAAATATAATTTAAGCTCGATGCTGCTGATTATAATACGACGTTTCATACTGCTTGATTATTGGACTCTTTTACTTTGAAGATGATCTCAAACGGGCTTGGAGAGAATTAAGAATGACATTCCACGTAGACATGAGGATGATCGATCTACAAAAAAACAGTTTAAGGTATTACATCATTCTTTTTCTTCTACACAATATCGTCATAAATAATGCGGCAATTGACATATTACAACTAAATTTGAGGCCAAATATTAAATTTCATCTGCTTTTCTTGTGTGTAAATCAACATGAAATCGTTGTTTATAGAAATTTGTTTAATTGATAAATATATTTTGAAATATTTCAGCGAAGATGCCTGTACCTTGCCAGATCCAGTTCTTGAGCATCTTCGTAGCCCCCTCGCTGATGATTTTCCTAAGGATATTTTCTCAATATCTCCAGCAGACATCTTTCCTAAGGTACGTTTGGTTTTTGAGCGGAAACAATGTCATACTTCCTTGCAGCTGAGAGCGAAGCTGAATGAATGATTCCAGCTATATAGACGAAATTTTGATCTAGCCAAGAAGAACGAAATCCATTACTATAGCTGGAAAGAGCATGGTAAAATGTGTAAAATTGCAAAGTTTGGTTGTGAATTGTTGTAAAATGAGGAAAATATAGTCCTGTGAAGTTCGCAAATTTTGTATACATTTGCATTACGCGCGGGAAAAATAACCATTTTTGAGTCGAAAGTGATTTTTACCGTACGTAATACAAACATACACAAAATTTGCGAACTTCACAGGGCTATATTTTCTTCATTTTACAACATTTAGCAACCAATCTTTGCAGTTTTACTCATTCTAAGACGCTCTTTCTAGCTGTGATGTTGGATTTCGTTCTTCTTACCTTGATCAAAATTTAGCTGGAATCACCCGGCATTGCGACGCAGCTCAAACTCATCGAGTCGAGGTCTTTCTAAGGGCTCCTCGGACCTCGATCTCAATCGCAACAACCTTATCGTTCATGTTTGATTACAGAGCACTGAGCTACGATATTATAAAGAAATTTTATTATAAAATCATCATTATAATTACTATAAAATCTCAGGCAAGTGTAGAAAGCCAAACATATCAAACAATTTGTGGAATTGAACATGAAACATAAAGAAAATTTATTAAAAGAAAGCTTTATGCTATGAAGAATGTTTACATAAACAATTTACATTATATAATTCAAATTAAACAATTGTATACTGTAATTCAATTCTGAAAGTTCAATGTCAGTGGTGAAAGGTGGTGGAGATTTCTTAGCATTTCTCTAATGTTCGACTGCCTCGTATGAAAAAGCTTTTGTGCTCGAAACAAGGCAAACGCGATCCACAACCAGTTCGTAAGGGAAGCCTCACATATCGAGTTTGTCCACAAGAAACGTCATATGGACGTTTCTCTGGAGACACCCCCCCCCCCCCCCCCCCCCCCCC